GCAGGACACCCTCTTTTGGCAGATGCCCCATCTGCCTGGCACCCCAGGTGGCTGCCCCATCAAATGGCACTAACGTCACAGGCATCTGGAGAGGCACTGAGCTCCAAAAGCGGGGGCCTTAAGAAGAGGGGGGCCTTGCAACTGATTCTGTAATAAGGAGAGAACAAAGAGATGGCACGGCTGTGTGCTTCCCCTGAGCACTGGATAGAAATCACTGGTTTTGAACCCATCAAAGATAAGGTCAGCTCTCTCTGCCAGCTGGGTGCCACTGAGGCCTAGATTAATAATAATCCTTATGTCAGCTGTGAAATCTATTGCCTCTATATACTCCTGCAAATACGGGTAGAAAAACTAGACCTGATACCTTTTTAAAAAATACGAATTCAATCAAACATGTGTGTTCATTTCATCAGAAAAGTTTAGAAACTGAATCGTGAAGGTGATTATTTTAAAATGCAGGAATGACAAATTTTTCAACACTACAATTATTTAAATAGCCTAGTTCTGAGTAGCAATGACTTGAAAAAGCGAGTATTTGCTGGCACTCCTGAAGATAAACTCTATTGATCTTTAGTTCCAAAGTGCATTTTTTAAAAGATTGAACCTCTGTTACAAAGAGGTGAAATGCTGAAAGCTAGAATTCAAAAGACATAGTAAACTGAAGCTTAAGAATTAAACCCAAACCCAAAACCCTTTGACTAAATATTTGGAGAGCTCTTTATGTAAAAGAAATGGAAGAATCAGAAGACCTGGATTCAGGGCCCAGCTATGCCACGAAAAAAGTCAACCAATATTTATGAAGGATTTACTATAAGCCAGTGCTGCACTAGGGGTTGTGGAGGGCCGCTGGGGTCCTGGGAGGGCTCTGCTGGGTTGTCTGATGAGCACAGCAAGTCTCGAGCCTGTCTTGCCACCCATTCTGATCTGATCTGTTCTCCTGGCCCTTAGAGTCAGCTTTCTAAATGCAAGTCCCACTAAGAAACTCAGGCCCTCCCATGCAGCACACAATCCGTGAACCTTCTCTCTCCTTGCACAATCTTCCATGGAGCCTATGCTCAAAAGACAGTGGCCTCCTTGGGTTTCCCTGAGCGGGCAATGCTGTTTTCTACTTCCAGGCATTTGCATGTGATACTCTCTCTGCTCAGGATTCCCTCTCCTGCTGTCTGTGCAGATAATCCTATCCTTTCAGGGCCAGTTCCAGCTTCTCTTGTGAAAACACTTTGCAAGCAGAGTTACTTGTTTCCTCCTTTGGGCTCTCACTGCGCCTGCCTTGTTTATTTATCCAGCCACTAGATCTGTATTGTGCTTCTACTGTGGGCCAGCCCTGGGTTCTGAGCTGGGGACACAGCAGGAACTCAGATTTCTTCTCTGCTGGTGGTGTTTACAGGCTGGAGGGAAGACCCAGTACCGATGATGTCAGGAGGATTTGTTTCCAGATCTTCCTGCTGCTCTAGGGCAGTGACCATGGCCTATCCACTTTCAAGTCCCCATCGTCCAGCAGAGGGTCTAGCACATAGGAGATGCCCAAGATGGAGGACTGCCATGCTCCTGCACCTCCACCCCGCCTGGGAATCACAGCCGCAGGCCCTCAAGTGCTGCAATGCTGCCCACCAGGCAGGCCACTCTTGTGCTTTCAGCCCCTCCCTTGCAGAGGACGTCTTTCCAAGGTGCTCTGTGGATCTGACTCTTTCAAAACGTGTCCACAAGCT